TAATTAATTAGTTAGTTAATTGTAATACAGATATAGTTGGGATGAACGTAATTGTTTTGTCACTTATGTGTATTACAATAGTTGCGTATATGTAAATTTAGGGTTTCAAGTTATGTAAATAGGGTAGCCGACGTATTAATAGGCTCGGATTAGGATTAGGGTTGTGCAAGAGTCTATATATATAGAACATTATGTCTGCAAGGGTTTTGGGAGACACCTCATTCACGTAATAGTTTGGAGAGGTAAAACAAAGAGAAAGGTGAGAGGAAAACATAGAAAGTCTCGAGTGATAATCTGTGAGGCTAAAAGAGATTAAGTAAGGGAACTGCTCATGGATTGAACCAAGATGCAACAGAGGAACAGAACAGTGATGACCGGAGGGAACAGTCTTGGAGAATTTAGTAACGGCGTAGAAAGGTTTCGAACCAAAACCTAAAGGCAAGTTTCAGTCTATCTCTCTCCTATAAACTTGTGTTCGGTGCATCTTATATAGACTTCAGGAACTTAAATAAACTTTTAAAAATGGACTTTATGCATGCTAGATGATTTCTGTAATCTGTTCTGCGTTTTTTTAAAAGTTTAAACTTATTGTTGCATAAACTGTTCTGTTGGGAGTTTAGATTCTGTGGATTGATTTACACTGGAGTATAAGGGGTTCTAGGACTGTAAGAAACTTAAATAGAATCCTAAAGATGTTACAAAGGTTTGGGGATAGGATGGGAAGCTTCGCTGGAAGCACAGACATCAACGCACAAGCAGAGGTGAAGCAGAGAAGTGGAGAAGGCTCAAAGTTGGGAAAGAGAAGGCTGCAGATTTGTGGGAGCCATCTCCCCCTTCAAAGAGCCGGCTTCAAGGGGTTAGGGAGCCGGCTCTAAGTGGCAAAGAGCCTACTCTTTGATTTTAGAGCAGGCTCCCTTGGTTGGGTTATGTTTGGACGTGGTTTGAACACTGTTTGGACATTTTTGGGCACTGTTTGGGATTTTAAATGGTTTCAGGGACTGGAATGAGAATTCTAAAAGTAATTACAATGGATTTTAATCCCTTTAAATGTATAATTTGGTCCATAAGGTAATTGGAAGAAACAGGGTAAGAATAAGCAACTTTGTACGCTGCTAACGGATAGGACAGACTAAATTGCTAAATCTTCTTTTAAAAATTTAATGGATTGTAGCATGGACTTTAAATAAGTTATTATGGTAGGTTAGAGCTACATTAAATAAATTAATGTCTTTGTGCTCATAGATTTAACCATAATAAAGTATACAGCGATGCAGGCTGTTAATGGACGGAATGAGTTTAAATGCCTAGTTTAATTTTAGCAATTTAACGGAATATATATATTTGATTATAAATCTTGTTTTGGTTGTATGCTAGGGTCAGTTATATATCATGTTTGATTTATGCATACCTCGGATGGTAACTGTGAAAATACTGAATTCTTTTCTACAATACATGGATTTGAGCTTGAGTTTTAATTACTGTAATATTTCGCACTACCCTGAAATTATTGGATTTTGGTTTGGACTTAAATTGCTGAACTAATACTTAAGTTCTGTCGATCTAATTGGATGTTGGCCTGGAATTAATTGCAGAATTAATTATATATTTTCAGTTGAATTATCTGGATGGATGCTGGACTTAAACTTGATGAACTATTAAAATTTGTCTCGTTAGTTACATGGATGGATTCTGGATTTTTAGTTGATCACTTGTTTAAAATCTGTGTTTATCAACTATATGGATTATGCGGACTCTATTTGATATACTACTCATAATGTTGCATCATTCAAGGATCATCTGCATTATATGTACCGGTATGGGACGGTGACATATCAGGGATGGATTAGATAAAAAAGCTAAGTCCTACCCCTTCATACATAAGGAATGGATTAACTAAAACAGTTAAATCCTACATGGATGCATGTCCTGTCAACTAAAACAGTTGAATGACATAATGGATACTTATTTTATCTTTCTACACTAGGAAGGAATTTATATATATATACTTATGGTACCGTGATACGACCTTGAGTCTCCTGATCATGGTTAGGGTGGGTATATTGCAAAGGTTGAGTTGCTAGATATAGCTAATGTTCCCTGGTAGGTTTAGGTACTTGGCCACTGAAAAGTGTGTTTTATATGTCACCTTCTACCCAGGCTGAACTATGTTATAGGCTAGTGAGCATCCTATAGTGTGTATATATATATATATGGACTATTGTAGACATTGCCGAGCTATCTAGGATGTATATGCGTATCGGGTTTATGTACGGATTGTAGTAGATTGGAACTTGCATGTGGGCCTGACTCACTCCTATTTTTCAGGTATTCGCCAGTACCAGGCTTAGAGTTTGATCGTGTTGATGCAGACACGGACACTCACTCTTGCGGTTACATAGGATTTCCTTTCTATTTTGGTTTTGGATTTTAATTCTGTAAATTTATTTAAAGATTTGGAATTAGGGGTCCACTAGGTGGATTCCCGAGTTGTACGGATTTAAATTATATTAATTTATTATTTAAGGTTTGAGGATTTTCATTTTAGTTTTCTTTCTATTTATTATTATTTTAATCTTAATTCAGTTTTATTTGTGCTTGTTTACATATTGATTGTTTGGTATCCCTCGAACTTGATCACCCGTGGCTCTAGAATCGAGAGGAATCACAAACAAGTCCTTGCTGAATGGGCCCAGGTCCAGGAAGTCATTACGGAAGCCCACATTGTGATGAAAGAAGTTGGGTCCAAACAAAAGGAAAGAAGATAGGTCCAGCCCATGAGTGATTGTCACCGTCTATAAATAGACGGAAATGAGAGGGAAAAGTGGTTGGAAAATATTTTGGAAGTGTAAAGTTTCTCTCTCTAGAATTGGGGAAAATTCTTTGTACTTTCACATGTAAATAAACTAGAGAATTAATTGAAAGTATTGAACCATACAAATCATAGATAAAATCAAGATTTATATAATCACAAGGTTAAAACATTTATTACAACATAGAATCATCAAAAATGTCAAACTTTTAGAGTTTAGAGTACAAGCCTAGGGCTTTTTCTAAACCCTAAGAAGATGATTTAGCCACTCATTGATGTGTTCTTGCAACCCGCAAAGGGTATCTTCATGGTTGAATTCATCTTCTTTCTCTTGGTCTTCTTGGTAGAAACCCTAGAGATGGAGAGAGATAGTTTCCCAAAGTGTGTCTAATCCCCTCCTAGTCTCTTGCCAAAATTGTCTAACTAACCAACCTCCTTACAAAAAATGGATAAATCCCTTATATAGGTAGCTCAAGTGATACCCCCAATGGTAAGAACTCATGCCTTATATGTATGTGACGGCGATCAATACATGAACATAAATAGTAATCATAAATAGTTCATAGTAGGTAATTATTGATGGACTCATTATTAATTAAGACTTGAACCAGATCCACATTAGGTTGAGATATATTGTAAGAGCCGTCGTATACAATTGTTTCCTATCACTGTTATGGCATTTGACTCTTAAGCATGAGAGAAATATAGACTCTTTTATTAATTAGTAATTACTTTAATTTGTTCGGCGGATTCTTTGGAATCCATAGACCGGTACTTTGGGTAATTATGTAATTAATAGTTAGACGGTTATATTTTCAATATTTGCATCATTGCTTCTTGTATTTATTTTGTACTAATTTTGATTGATCACAAACTAAATTCGAAAGCCTTCGTGTACTTTTAGATAAAATGATTTTCTATATATTTATTTATTTAAATTATTATTTTTGTCAAACAAATATTTTATTATGATCATGCCAGAAATAATCAAAGGTACCAAAATAAATATATTAATTTAGTAGTCAGATTGATGGCTTTATTTATCCGATAACTAACTATGCATAGAGGGGTCAAAATGTAACATTAACTTAGATGTTATTTATTATTTAATTAGAGTTCAATTAATTTATTTTAGTGGAGTAGAAATTAATTTATGAATTAATTGAATTGAGTCCATGGTATAATGAACTGGACCAATTATTCATTCATTGTAGCCAAAAAAATAATAAACCCGAAGGATTCTCACTCATAACCCAACTTAATATTGGAAGCCCATTAGATTTGAGATATCACTTTAATATTAGAGATTGAGAAAAATATATTGTCTTCAATTATTATTTTATGTTGCCTATATATACATGGGGTCCATATATATTTTAGGTTACACCTTTGTGCAATAATTTTTAGAAGACAATAAAAGTTTTTCTCTCTAGAATTTTAGATTTAGTGTTCTCATCTGATAGAAACTCTCACAAGCTTAACTCTCCAATGTCATTCATGGAGGCTTATAAGTGATTCCTATAGGCAAGATCATTACGAACAAGATAGAGATCCAAGGAAGAGGCATCTAGTAAAGGGATTTACAATAAGTGAGAACATTCACTTTAAAGGAAAGATTTAAGGTTTACTCAAACCTTGATGTAAGTTTCTATATCTAATTGAATGGATCATTATGTTCTTTATTCATAAAACTTGTCTCTACACATGAATCAAGATCTTTATTTGAATCATAAAGTTTAAAAAACTTCCATTTCCCCAATAGATGAAACATCCATGGGCGTGAATCACTCTTTTCCTACTATTTCTTGTAACTCTGTCTTCCACTTCCTTCAAGGCTCAACTCTGTTTTCTTACCCATTTTTCTCAAATAGAAGTGAATCACATTAATCTGCCTTTCTGGTTTTTTTTTTTTTTTTTCACCATGTTTTAGAGAGAGAGTCAACCGAACCCTGCCCCTTCTGTCACTCTAAAAAAAAAGAGTCAACCTGGACAACCCAACCGATCCAAAAATATTCGGGCTTAGGTTTACAGGCAAAACTAGAGGTCAACTTGGACTCAGGTTGGTCCGACTTCAGGTTGGTTCCGGGTTAAGGTTAGGGTCAATTTCGGGTTGGGGATGCCCAGCTTGCACCCTTAGAGCATATTTTTGCGATTGAGTGTTCTTACTCTAAATTTTCATTAAAAAAAAATGTTGTTATAAGAAAATTCAGCTCTTTGCAACAAGGCAATGGAGAAATGGACTATTACAAATCCTTCCTTACATTAAATTGAAGACCAAAAGGAAAATCTATTAAATAGAAAACAAGGGAGAAAAAAGAAGAAGATCGAGGAAGAAGAAGAAAAGAAAAAGCAAAAAATCAAAATGACCATCTATATGTTGTGTTGGTTATAGAGTCATATACAAAATGGATTGAGACATCTAAGATACAGTTTAATTTAGAAGTCAATGATGGGTTCTCCAAGAGTCAAATTTCTCTCCACAGTCCATGACGAGTTGAATAGCTTGGCCATTATAAATTTGAAGATTTTGTTCACATTGATGTTATGGGTTGCACTTGAGAAGAAAAGGGTCGCTTTCATGGCCTTTGCATATGCCCTTGCCTGCATCATATGAATAAATATTAAAATGGAAATCATGCGATACGTGTAAAAGTTGCAATGAATAGCAATTAAATAAGGTTTTTACGAGTCTCATATAAAATATAATTTTGCTCCAGATGTGCCCCATTGTGTTTATCTCCTACACGGAGAGAGAGAGAGAGAGAGAGATGGTTTGGACATTTCTAAGAATCGACAATTAAGAAAGAGAAGGAGAAATTGGACATGTCTTAGAATTAGAAAAAGGAAGGCTCGTCCAAGCCTTTCAAGCATTCCTCTCTTATTTCACACTCCAATATAGGTGGGGGGCACACACTTGCAATATAATATTGTTTAATTTGCATGCTAGTCTTTTTTTAAATTTTGTGGAGCCAAATTAAATCAACTTGTTCTTTGGTAATGAGCATATGTGTTTTCTAATGGTATTTTTTTTTTTTTTGTTTTAATTTTTGTCAAAAAATTTAAGTAATTATGTACATAGCTATAATATTGTTCTTAACATGGTTCGAATACGTAACATCTCTTCTGATAATGATAGATTATATCATCTAACTTAATGACTATTAATTGTAAATACTGCTGCAAAAATGTTGGACAATATCTATTACCTGAGTCACAATTCTCCATTGTAAATTCAGGGGAAGTTGGACAAAATCATCGAATTTGGTCCCGATAAGAATTGGAATTGCTGTCTACAAAATCATCCACATAAAAAAGTGAGATGTGAATATATATATATATATATATATATAGATTAAGTGCAAAAAACTCCCCTGTAATATAGGTTATGTGCACAATGAGTCCTTCCTTTTGAAAAGAGTATTTCAATCCATAATAATAAAAAATAATAAAATAAATAAAAAAAAAGGTGCAAATAAGCCCCTCTGATCACTTTTTGACAAAAAGTAAATCTGAAAATCCGATTTTACCCTTTTCGTTCCTATTTTGCCCCTCACAGAATGTGCATATACTTTTGGGTTAAAATCACAACCCCCCCCCCCCCCTTTCAAATTCTTGTAAAAAATAAAAAAAATAAAAAATAAAAAAACAATTTTTCACGGTATGCTTTTCAAAATAGGTCTTTGCCTTTTAAAAAAAAAAAATAGTATAACTCGTTTGTCTTTAGAGCTAAAATATAGGATTTACTAGGAATTTTTTATACAACACGAGGCTTATTTTTATTTTGGGTGAATTACCCTCACCTCCTTGAGGTTTGTCAATATATCTCCCATATGAAACTTTTGCCAAAACTATCTCTAACCTCCCCCAATTCAAAGTGAAAATACTATTCTGCCCTTCATCTTTTGTCTTATTTTTTTCTCCTAGTCCTCTCCTTGTCTGATCCAAACCCACAAGACCGCCACCGCCTCACTCTACCATACCCCCTCCCCTCTTTCGCACAGGGGCGACTCGAGCCTTAGGCGAGTTAGGCGGCCGCCTAAGGCCCCATCCAATAAAGGCCCCAAAATATTATAGTTGTCTTGTATATGATATATTGTTATTGTTTCCTTATTGAACACTAATTCTAAAAAATTTCTTATTGTATATGATATATTGTTATTATTTTTTTTTTTTTTTATTAATTTTTTATCTCCTAAAATATCTCATTAATATTTTATTTCTTTTTTCTGTCATATAAACGTTTTTTTTTTACACCACTCACCAGCACTATATATATTTAATATTTTTTTGGTAAGTTGCACTACAATAAATATTTAGCCGTTGTATGGAGAAGAGAAGAAACTTTCCATATTCTCTTTTTCTAGATTTTTATTTTTTTTATTTATTCTTATTTGTATTCCTAACCTTACGTTCATTTTGATTAACTCAACAAGTTACTTATAAGTTACAAGTCATCTCCTATCTCAGTCCTCTCTCATTACAACTTTATAATTTCCTTTATTCTGTACTCAATATTCATTAGTCTCAAATCTCAATTTGAACACACTTTTCTTTTATCGAAGAATTTGCAACAGTATTGAATTGGGGCTTTCTAAATCAGGTTATATTGTTTTTTTTTCTTTAATTATTTTTTAGTTTTACTAACTTTTGTTATTATAAATTTGTATATATATATATATATATATATATATATATATGTTTTTCATATATTTTTATATTTGTTTATGAGTTGTGAGTCTTAGTGATTATTTTTACCCATATTTTTTAATATGTCGGCTAGAAAGTATGAATCCGGATTTGAAAAACTTAAAAAAAAAAAAAAAAAAGAGAAGAATAGATAAACTAATTCAATCTCAAAAGGGAGCTATTGATAAATTTGTTACAACTAATAATCAAAACCTAACAAAAAATTTAGGTAAAAGTTCAGCAAATGAACAATCAAATCATTTAAAAGAATTAGAAGATTATATAATAGTGAAAGAAAAAAAAAATACTAATGACTTGATTCACAATAATAATCAAGAACAACAAAAAGAATTGAAAGAAAGTGAAACAAGTAATCGAAAATCATATTTTAAGACTATTCCCACAAATATATATGATCCTGGACAATAGAAAAATATTGATACAAAGGTAAGAGATTTATTAGGAGAAAATGGTCTAATTAGATTTAACCACACTTGAATATAAGAATTTAATTAGTAAGTTTGCATCTCAAAAAGTAACAAGGATGATTTTTAATTAATTATTATTTAATAATTAATATATTGCATATTATGATATGAAAAGGCCACTTTTTATTTTTTGCCTAAGACTCCGAGTTACATTGAGCCGCCCCTACTTTCGCACCACCACCACTCCCACCCAAAAACTTTTCTTTTTCCCTCACTTTCCTCATATCCAAAACACGCACATCACAGAGGGAGGCTCAATTTAATCAACAAACAAATTAAAATAAAAATCACAATCAAACCTTTAATTATAGAATCATAACATAATGTATTATTCATATATAAATTTACAAGGATCTCAAAAATGAAGAAACTAACACCTGCAGTTCTGGTCAAGCAAACACATATAATGATATAAATTAAAAGAAAAACCAAAACAAAATCAAAATCAAGATAGCGAAGAAAAATTGAAGCTTTATTGAAGTCATTTGCTTTGGTTATTGAAATTCATCTTCTCGTAATAATGAATTGAGAGCAGAGACAGCGAGAGATGAACCCCATACTTTCCCCATTGAGTTTTAGCAATGAGGGGCTTCGCTGGAACCATCGGAAGCTGTGGAGGAGGCATACAAGGATATGCGAATGAGGTGGTGCAGGAAGAAGAGGGGAAGGAGGAAGAAGTCAACTTAGAGAGGGCCCAAAGGTAGAGAGAGTGGAGGCGCGAGAAACCACCTAGGGTAAGAACCACCGAGTGGAGCTGTTGGCTACCATAACCGGTGTTGGCCAGTGTCTGGTGCATATCAGCTCCCAGAGATGCTCATCCTGCACCGTCGAATGCCACTGTTTGCTGACACATGCTGCAGTGGCCAGCGTGAGTGTTTACATGCTTCTACACCTCATATAACAAGTTTTTGTCCATCAACATATACGCCTATCTCTTTGGCTCCTCCTCTTCTTCATTTTCTTGTCATCGCTAGTGACCAGATCTTCATCACTAGTAATTGATCGCTTCATCGCCACTAAATAAGTATATAGATACAGATATTTAGAGAGAAAAAGGGAAGTGTATACACCATAATTATTAGCCATTATCAAGTAGAAGGATGCCCTGGTCGATTCCAATGGAAGGTACAGCGATGTTTCAGTGGAAATCACTATCTTCTAAAGACTTTGGCTATAAACCAATCCAAGCTGGACACGTGGCTTAATAAAAGGGCCACAACTATAACTATTTGCACCATAATTCTCAGTCACTTTCCAATGGAAAGTTGTTGTGCCTGATTCTAATGGAAGGGTGATATGCAGACATGGGTGCAATCATAAAACAACACATGAATTCATCTAAGAAATCCATTTGGTGAAGTAACCACCTTAGGACATGTGGAAGCCAAGGAGCAACTAGTTACATGCAAGTGGAAAGTCATAGGACACGTGGCAGCCAATGAAGCATGTAGTTACATGCAAGTAGAAAGTCATTGGACATGTGGCAGCCAAGGAAGCAAGTAGTTACATGCAAGTGGAAAATCCTAGGACACATAGTAGGCCAAGAGGTAAACAGTTGGAAGACATGACTTACAAGTGGGACACGTGGCATAATTTCCAATCAAAGAGGGATTATTCCAATGGAATTTACAAGATTCCAATGGAATGTCATGTGAATAAGTAGCAGAAATGGCATAACGTGGCTGCAAGTTGAGCGCACAACTTGGAAACGTAGGACACGTAGAAGATTTCCATTGGAAGAGTGGTTATTCCCGGCTAATGGAAAGTCATGCTAAAAATGGCAAAAATGTAGGAAAACATGGTCATCCACGTGTAAGCACTATGAAGGCTAGAAACTGCCCATGCTAACTGCCATTACCAAATTCTATAAATAAGGCATGTTATTATTACTTAAAGGCACTCCTCAATACACATACAACTACATCACTTCATTTATATTTCAATTCCTTCAATTGTAATTCTTTTATCTTTCAATTCATGCAATTTACTTCAATTATCTTCATTAATGCAAGATATATTACAGCTCTTTACTTTCCAAGTCATGCACCTTCAATTCATTACTTTCAGTCCAGTACTTCAAGTCCTTTTATTTCCAGCCATAAGAAAATCTCAAAGTCTTTTGTCACTAAAGGCAAAAAATAATCTTTGGAGGTGGTCAATCCAGACCTTCTTTCAGTCGCCTGATCCATTTCATTTCCATCTAAAATATAGTTTGGATTCTCACTCGGAACTTCTTGAGTTCCTGGCATGCCCGCACTTCCACTAGACCAGTGGAAGAGATTTTTTACTGGCCAAACATATTGGTGGCATACCCGGTGGGACAACCGATAAAAGATCTTTCTTATGGCACAAAGTGGAATTCAACTAATAACTAACACATTTCAGACGTACATTGATGAATGGCGTGACGAATTCTACCAAGAGATGGCCAAAGTACGTGAAGAGTACTATCGAAGGATAGCCGACAAACGTGAGCAATATTTTTGAGAATTCAAGGAAAAACTCCGAGAATGTCTTTGGAATGTAATAGTAGAATGGAAAAAGGTTCCAACAATGTGTACAAACCCTTCCATGAGCTCTGCAAAAACTACCACCTATGGCGTCGATTCCACTAGCAGTGAAGTCGATTCCACCACCAGTTCAAGTTCCACTACAAGTGGAACCTCAAGTGCAGAACCTTCCACCAGCAGTAGCTCAATTACTTCCATCGCAAGTGCAGATTCTACCTTCAGTACAGAATCTTCCATCAAAAGTGGTCCAACCATCTCCTCATCAGGACCAACAGAATGTTCCACTTTGGAACATTTAACAACCTATAAACATGCCACCAAAGCCACTCATGGCCTTTCCAATGGCGTTTGAAAGGCAACGCCCTCCAAGAAAACCTCCTGACCAAGGAGGTAACCAAATCAGATGGAGGAACAATCCTCTGTCTGACCCAAACACATATCCAATAGCGTTTGGGGGGGTAGTTTTCCCAAAAGAATATCCTGATCAAGGAGTAAATCCAATCTGCCAAAGAAATACTCCTCTAGCAGATCTAAACCCACTTCCAGTGGTGTTTAAGGGGCATCCAATGGACAACCTACCCAAAGGTTAGCCAGAAAATACAATTTCATTACCCCAACATATGGTACTTGATCATAGCCAACTTGCTGGCTTCTTCCAGCAAGACTTAGGCTTGGCCATGAAGAAGGTCAACAAACCTTTCCATAGGAAGCCGTTACCACTTCTTCCATTGGAAAAAGATTTTCCACAGTCAGATTTTCTTTCAAAAATGGCACAATTTTCTTAATTGTTGTATATTCTTCCACCTGAAGAATATAAATATCATAGTATTTTCCTCTAAGTTTGGAAAAAATTCTAGTACTTTATTTTTCCCAAATTCACATCTTGTGATTTTTAGGGGGCAAAACTTGGCAAATCAACTATGTATTTAGCCAGAAGATTTACAAATTCGTCCTCGTCGTACACCTCCAAACCCTGAGAGGCAACGAAATTTGACCGGAGGCTTCAAATCCTAAATCTTACAACTTTCGACCTAGTTAATAAGCTGATTAAAGTTTTCAGCCAAATGGTACATTCCGGCTGAAAGTTTTGGTTGTCCCATTCCTTACCGAACAAAAACATCACATTCCAAATTCTCACTCATATCTAAAATTTTATTTGCCTTGCAATTCTTCAAAGAATATCATGCACATAAAATTTGGGGGGTATATGTTTATACCATAATTATCAGCCACTTTCTAATGGAAGGTTGCCTAGTCGATTCCAATGGAAGATACTACGATGTTCCAATGGAAATCACTATCTTCTAAAGACTTTAGCTAGAAACCAATCCAAGTTAGACAGGTGGCTTAATAAAAGGGCCACAACTATAACTATTTGCTCCATAATTATCGGTCACTTTCCAATAGAAAGTTCTTGTGGCCGATTCCAATGGAAGGGTGATATGCAGACATGCGTGCAATCATAAAGCAACATGTAGATTCATCTAAGAAAACAATTTGGTGAAGTAACCACCTTGGGACACGTGGAAGCCAAGGAATCAACGTTAAATGCAAAGGAAAAGTCATAGGACACGTGGCAGCCAAGGAAGCAAGCAGTTACATGCAAGTGAAAAATCCTAGGATACGTGACAGGCCAAGAAGTAAGCAGTTGGAAGACATGACTTCCAAGTGGGACATATGACAGATTTTCCAATCAAAGAGGGATTATTCCAATGGAATTTGTAAGATTCTAGTGGTATGTCATGAGAATAAGTAGCAAAAATGGCAGAACGTGGCTACAAGTTTAGCGTAGAACCTGAAAACATGGGACACGTAGAGGATTTTCATTGGAAGAGCGGTTATTCCTGACCAATGGAAAGTCATGCTGAAAATGGCTGAAAATGGCAGAAATGTAAGAAAACATAATCATACATGTGTAAGCAACAGAAGGCTGAAGAATACAGTAGGACACATGGCATGAATCCAATCAATCCACTTGGGGGCATCTAAAGTTGGCAATGAAACTGCCCACGTTAACTGCCATTACCAAATTCTATAAATAAGGCATGTTATTGTTAATTAAAAGCACTCCTCAACACACACACAACTACAACACTTCATTTATCTTTCAATTCCTGCAACTGTATATCTTTTATCTTTCAATTTATGCAATGTACTTCAATTATCTTCAGTAATGCAAGTTATCTTTGAGCACTTTACTTTCTAAGTCATGCACCTTCAATTCATTACTTTCAGTCTAGCACTTCAAGTCCTTTCACTTCTAGCCATAAGAAAATCTCAAAGTCCTTTGTCACTAAAGACAAAAAAGAACCCTTGGAGGTGGTCATTCCAGACCTCATTTCAGTCGCCTGATCCATTCCATTTCCATCTGGAATATAGTTTGGACTCTCACTCGGAACTTCCTGAGTTCCTGGCATGCCCACACTTCCACCAGACCAATGGAAGAGATTTTTTACAGGCCAAACAGGATGAATTCCTAAATACGGAACTTTTGATCTTCTCAAAGTGAGGAAATAACGAGGGTTAGGTTGGGTTGGGTGGTTGGTTGGTGACGGCTTGGTGGGTGGAGGGTGATTTCTTGTAGAGAGAATAGAAAGAGAGAGGAGGTGGTACAGTGGGTGTTCTTGGGTTTGGGCTGGGTGAGAAGGATAGGACTAGGAGAAAATAATTGATAAAGGGTAGAATAGTGCTTTCACTTTGAGTTAGAGGAGATTAGAGATAGTTTTGGCCGAAGTTTCATCTGGGAGATATGTGGACAAACCTCAGGGGAGGTGAGGGAATTTCACCCTTTAACTGTTGTTCCGAATAAACAAACTCCTACATAAATTGGAAAAAATAGTCATTTTACATGGCTTGTATTTATATTTATTAATTTATTCTACTAAAATGAGGGTATTATCGTCATTTCAAGTCTCCAAAGGCTATTTGCACCAAATAAAAAATATAAGGGTGTTTTTTTGGCACTTAACCCTATATAGCATGCTTGCTTGTATTTGAGGATTATTAACATAGTACCTGATTCCACCTTCTTGCTTCATTATACCATCCTATGACACTGCAATTGTGTAAAAAAAAAATCCAGCATATGCGACGTTATTCTACTAACTTCAAAATTTTCTATTAAATGATCATCAACACTCCAACATACCTATTTAGGGTACACCGGCTGGTAAGATCAAACATAAACAAAATCGCTACTGCATCTTTGCAAGCGATCGGAACATGATCAAGCGACATATTTTCACCTAAAATCCAAGTAGTTAGGACCAAACACATTAAAAGTGTATAAATCCCACTTTTAGGATTTTGCAGATATAATACTCCTAATCAAGTGTAGATAACATAAATTTAATTTACTATTTTACCCCTCAAGAAATGAAAATAAAAAGAACATTTGTTGTAAAAAAGAAGGGTATTGTAGAAATTTCAAGTTAAAAAAAAAAAAAAAAATTACAAGCCAATTTTTCATCTGTGTCTGCCTAATTTTGAAATAGTATATGTAAATTTTGTGAAAAAAATGAAATTTTTCATTTTTTTTTTTTGGCATTTTCCCCTAGAAAAATAATAATACCAAAACTGAATATACACATGAAATTTGATAATAGTCAAAAAGATTAATTAATCAGAATACCTCCAACATCCCAGATTCTAAAAGCAATCTTTGCACCTCGAATGATTAATGTTTTATCCATTAAATTTAATCCACTCATCTGCAAACCTCTCTTCTCCGGTTCATCCCCTGCATACTTGATCTTGAAAAAAAAAAAACAAAGGAGAGAAAGTGTCAATTGCCTACCCATTAAGTTGTCCAACTAATATATTTCAGAGATAATCGTATATTCATATGATATATATCTATATATAAACACATATACAGACATACCACATATAAACATATTACAAAATGAAGTATATTTAAAAATAACAAATTAATTTAAATCACTGACCACAAAGCTTGTTTTTCCAATTTGGCAATCGCCCAATAGAGTGATCTTCAAATCCACTATATCCGAATCAGTATCATAACCGCTACACGTAGTTGTGAGGTCCTCTGGCTCCAAGCCGGACTCGAGAATATCCATCACCGGAGAAGAAGACCGGCGAGACAAACGCCGATACCGAACTGGCTTCCCTATGGAACAAACAAGAATTCTATCCCAAATGAAATGAAAGAATCGACAAAAAATTGATTCCCTTTCGAGTATACTCCACCTAATGTTGATACGAAGGATTTTCCGGCGAAGTTGTGTCATCTTTCCGGTGGCTTCATGAATTCTTTGAGGCATCATAACATATGGTGGCTTCTTGTTCTGTCATACCTTTTGTTGTAAGTTTTGGTTTTTTTTGGAGTCTGGTCAATTGAACCAACCAAAGCTAAGAAGTTGTATTGCGACCGTATTTTGTCCACACCAGAACAGTCAATTTTGCCGGCTTCAGCAGTGAGTTTATTTTTCAATTATGGGGAGTAGATGATATTTGGATAGATGGGTATTTTAGTCAATGTATGAATTGGGTATTTTAGTCAATGTAAGAGATACTTTGGTCAATGTATAGGTTTATTATTTTGACCACTCCCAAGGACACTTTTTCTCGCTCACACCCTTGCCGTATTCTATTCGTTAGAACCGTTAACCAAATTTGATATAATGACCATGTTACCCTTAGGTTATGAAATTGATCGTGCAAAAATGAAGATCAATTTTTTTGAGACCCGTCTCTGGAATCCAGTCGCGATGTTTCTCTTCAAGTTCAATTTTGGTCTCGTTTGGATAGCTCAATTCGTTGTTCAAAGGCAAGGAGATTATGAAATTGATCATGCAGAAGATGAGCCACAAAGAGTTGCAAGGGCCTCAGGTTCAAATTGCCCTTCATTCCGGTTCTAATCCCATCGGTTTCAGTCACATGCTTTCCAATCACCTCGTCAATTTGCAGAATTAGCAGCGATTTTTTATTTATTTATTTATTTTTGTATCTATTTACTACTTCCGTTTCTCTGAATAAATTAGGGTTGGGGTTTCTGATTTTTAAGACTGATTCCTGTGACTTTTTTTTTTTTTTTTTTTTTTTTTTTTTTTGGAAATGTTGTGAAAATCATGTAATTCAGGCAAACTAGGGTTAGGATTTTGAATTGTTTTGATTTTCTTTTTGGTTTTTGTGTTTTCCTAAAATCTCCCTAACTACAAAAATTGCAAAAAACTTTCTAAAACTATAAAATTTTATTGCAGCTAGTTTCATCCGGTCGATCATTCTGCAATCGGCACCGGTAAACCGGTAAAATTGATCATGCACAATTACGTGACATACAAAATAGAACTTAATGACTATAATACCAATAAGACTATAAAAAGATGTTATTGCCCTTTATAATAACCATGGCACCAACAACTCTTTAAAATGACGTACACCCTGTACTATTTTGTCTATAATCTATATACACACACATATATATATACTCACAAATATATGTCATCAAATTTGTAAGCTCTTGTGTATATATATATATATAAACAAGAACCCAATTATTTAGAATCCTAATTTCTCAAATTCCAAAATGGAATCCCCAAATCAAACTCACTCCCCTCAATATCGGATGGTGCTGGAATTATTAGTCGTCAATTTCTTTGCTTCCACCATCAGAGCCCTCTTTGGCTTCCCACATAAAGTCAGCAGAGCCATGATCCAGCACCTTCATGTAAATTTTTTTTTTGTCTCTGGTCTCTTCTTTCCCTCCCTCTCTCTACCAGTTGGTTACTGTGATTTGGTTTTGTACGGTGACCAACATATGTACAGGAGATGGTAAGAGTTGAATTCAATATGTAAGTTTAAATCGGTGTAGAATTCTGTAAGGGTAAATTGGTCTTTTACTTTTTCCAATACCTGAAGATGACGCAATGGGGTTAAATGCAACAAAACCATAATTTAGAGTATTTCTTGTAGAATTTTTTTTTTTTTTTTTGGCATTTTACCCTATAGTCTACTAATAATAAATTCATATCTAGAATATGCATAGTAGGGCAGTGGCATGTCATGTGTATACTAGTTGGTGTGTGTGTGTTTGTGGAGATGGAGATGGAGATGGAGATGGAGACTGCTTAGCTGGGAAGAGAGAGAAACCAAGGGTGTATATATCTATATGTATATATGTTGGATAGTAAAGTAATTTTCATTAAATATTGAAGGGCATAATTGACTTTCCATTCTTAAAATGATGTATGTTAACCCACTAACTGTATTAGGGGAGGTGAAAGTAATAAACCCCAATTACTCCATCTCTATGAAATTTGCCCAAACTTTAGAAAAAGTAAGTGCAATTTACCCAAATATATGGGATGTATGGATAAAATATATAGGATTAATGTGTATGAGAAATTAAGAATGGTGCTCGTAGGAAATAATGGACATCAATAATAACGAGTCTCGGTTACTCAAAGTAACTTTATCCCAATCGAAAATGAACCAGCATATGCTTTACGTGCCAACCTATGAAGCGCGGATACGAACACGGGACAGGGATACGATACGACACGAATACGGCGACACGACAAAATTAAAAAAAATAAGACACGGACACGACGAGGATACACCTATAAAATTATATATATATATATATATTCAAAATCCACAATACCATAAATCTAACCTCCCCCAAAAACTACTGCAATAAAAGAAATACTTTAATTAATTAGAAACTGTTTGGCCTAAAAAAAACGGGTGCCGATTCTGATGGAACTGGATGGGCATGCCAGGAATTGCAGTAATTCCAAAGAGAGATCCAAATAATATTCCAGAAAGAAGACTGCGGGACCAGGCGATTATGTTGAGGTCTGGAATGAACACATCTGAATTCTTTTTGCCTTTGATAAAGGACTTTGGGAAAGTTAATTAGCTAGGAAGAACTGTAAAATTACTTTTGAAAGTAAGGAATTATCTAATGAAAAGTAAAGTGCAGGACTGAAACTAATCATATTGAAAGTGTATTGCAATGAAAAGTAAAGTTGTATTGAAATGCTTTATTTAGCATTGAGCAGACCTTCTAAGTTACAATATTATGCCCTATTTATAGAATTTAGTAATGATAACTTGCATATAACCGCTTACTTCCTAAGCTTCCATGTGTCCCATGACTTTGCATGTAACCGCTTACTTCCTTGGCTGCCATGTGTCCCAAGATTTTCCACTGGAACGTCGTAGTACTTTTCCATTGGACCGACTATCTTATTAGGCTGCCATGTGTCCCATGACTTTGTATGTAACCGCTCATTTCCTAGGATGTGTCCCATGACTTTGTATGTAACCAATTGTAACCACTTACTTCCTAGGTTGCCATGTATCCCATGACTTTGCATGTAACTGCTTACTTCCTTGGCTGCCATGTGTCCCAAGACTTTCCATTGGAATGTCGTAGTAACTTTCCATTGAAATCGACCAGTTTCCTAGACTGCCACGTGTCGCATGTCTTTGCATGTAACCGCCCACTTCTTAGGATGTGTCCCATGACTTTGCATGTAACCACTTGTAATCACTTACTTCCTAGGCTGCCATGTGTCCCATGACTTTGCATGTAACCACTTGTAACCGCTTGCTTCTTTGGCTGCCATGTGTCCCAAGACTTTCCACTGGAATGTGGTAGTACCTTTCCATTGAAATCGACCAGGGTGATCTCCTACTGGAAAGTGGAAAATAAGGGTGTAAACATTGCCCCTCAAATTTGATGTGCCTGATATTCTTTGAAGAATTGTAGGGCATATCAAATTTTAGATGTGAGTGAGCATTTGCCATGTGATATTCCTATTGTTAAGGAATTGAACAAGTAAAACTTTTCAGTCGGAATGTACTATTGGGCCGAAAACTTTTAAGCAGCTTTATTTAACTAAAAACGAAGATTTAAAGCCTCACGTCTAATTTCGTTGCACCCCGGGGTCTGGAGGTTTACGAGGAGGACGAATTTGTACATCTTCAGGCCAAATACATAGTTGATTGGCCAAGTTTTGCCCCCCAAAATTCACAAGATGTGAATTTGGGACAAATAAAATAGTAGCATTTTTTTCTAAAATTGGAAGAAAAATACTATGACCATTATATTCTTCATGCGGAAGAATATACAATGATTGAGAAGCTTGTGCCGTTTTCGAAGGAAAATCTGGCTGTGGAAAACTTCTTCCAATGGAAGAAGTGATAACGGCTTCCTATGGAAAGGTTTGTTGACCTTCCTCATGGCCAAGCCACAGTCTTGCTGGGAGAAGTTAGTAAGTTGGCTTGTATTTTTTGGCCAATCTTTGGGTTGGTTGGCCATTGGATGCCCCCCAAACACCACCGGAATTGGGTTTAGGTTTGCCATAGGAATATTCTTCCGGCGGATTGGATTTACTCCTTGATTGGGAGGTTTCCTTGGAGGGCGTTCAATTTCGAATGCCATTGGAAAGGCCATAAGTGGCCTTGGTGGTGTGCTTGTAGGCTACTGAATGTTTGAAAATGGAACATTCTGTTGGACCTGAAATTGAACTTTCTGGACTGTTGTTGGTGGAAGGTTCTGCACCTCATGTAGAACCTGCACCTGCGATGGAAGTGGTTGAGCTACTGCCAGTGGAATCGACTTCCCTACTGCTAAAAGGTTCTGCATCTTAGGTGGAACCTGCATCTATGATGGAAATGGTTGAGCTACTGCTGGTGGAATCGACTTCACTGTTATTGAAGGGTTCTGCACCTTAGGCGGAACCTGCATCTATAATAGAAGTGGTTGAGCTACTGCCAGTGGAATCCACTTCCCTGTTGCTGAAGGGTTCTGCATCTTAGGTAGAACCTGCATCTGTGATGGAAGTGGTGGTAGAATCAACTTCACTACTAACATAATCGACTTCACTATCAGTGGAATCGACACCACGGGTGGTGATTGTTTCTGAGCTTGTGGAAGGGTCTGTACTTGAGATTTGGAGCCACTTCCTTCTACCAAAGTAAGGCTTCCGTAATTGCTCTCGTAACTCGCTTTCATCCATGCTTGTCTGAAGTGCATTACGCAGTAGAGCGGCACGTAAACTTTGGTTAAAAAGTTCAATAGCCTGTTCCTTTAAAATATTGGCAAGATCTTGAAAATATTTGCTGTGTTACCTAAAACTTTCGGCAAGATCTTAAAAAGATTTGCTGTATTATGCAGGTGGCACCTGTACCATTTGCACCTATGGCATGGAATGCACAGGCTGATGAGAAGGACTCCCCTCAACAAACGTACTAGGCCTGTTCACCGGAACGGATGATTGTTGAGTAGTATTGGGTGAAAAGTATGGCTAACTTCCTGATTGACCAGCCTGAGCCGTATACTGACAAGACCCAAAATGATGCCAATTGTTAGTAAAAACATCATAACAAAGCTGTTGAGGAATTACCACAGGATTCTGTACATGTTGTTCCACTGGAATAGACATCGATTGTGCATATGGCATCTGCATTGTCTGCACCTGCAACGTAGCTCGAAAATATTGTTCACGTTCTTCGGCCACCCTTCAGTAGTACTCTTCATGTTCAAAGCTCAGATA